ATCGTACTTTGGACCTGTTAATCTGAGGTTGAGTCATTTCTAATAATCAAGGAGTTATATAAAGCAATGGTTCTGACGGGTGGAGACAGCAGAGAGATCTCTTCCAGAACCACTGTATCACACATAGACCAGAATGAATGAAGCTATCATAAAGTTTCAATGGGTGACTCAATGTAAAGATACCCTAGAAAGGAAGCTAGGCTCACAATACCTTTTACTCATTTGTTTTTGGAGTCAGTTTAGAAGATTTATGTCAATGAACAAACTGGAGTCTGTCAAAATTAAAGTAAAGGTCTTTAATTTTGATCTGGATTATACAGCACTTAGGATTCAGTAACGTGCTCCAACATTCTGAGGGAAATGAGAGCCTTTATATAGAAGAGTGGGCATGGGAGTAAGTGTCTATGGTCATGGGACTAGGGATTATGTATGGTCAGAAGACAATAGCAGGTTGAAAATTGACAAGGGTAGATGATTTATTTTCTAAAATAGAGTTCTTGGAGCTAACTTAGTAAACTTTGTATACATTCTTCCTGAGGTCTACTACATAAGCATTCTTCTGAGAGCATATTGACAGACATTTACTGATAATTCTTCACAAACCATTTTCTTGTCTTCCCTATCATTTTTGAGAGTGGTTTAAAATTCACAAGGAATTACAGCTCTCAATTACAGGCCCCCTTGGCCTCTGCCCTGCTTGAGCTTGGGTTACAAAGCTCTTTTATCCAGTCTGTGAATGCCCAAAACGCACATTTTCCAAGCTAGTCTCCTGCCTATAGGTACTCAGTTTTACTCAGTCCATTGGTCTAGAGCTGGAAGCTGCTCTCTCTTCATGCTTTCACCTCTGCAGTTGCCTCTGCTGTCAGCTCTGCCCTTCTTTCTGCAGTCACTGTTTCTCTAGGTAGGAATCTCATGTGTCATTCTTTCTCTGCCTTCTTGGTGGTCCTGGGATCTTCCATCTCTGCTGCTAAGATGGCTCCTTTTAAACCTAGTTGGAGTGCCGGGAGCCAGCCCCAGCAAACTTATTCCAGGATTTCCCGAAGGGGGGTGCGGATGTCAGCGAAAGATGGGT